TTTTTTTAATTGGAAAAAAGAGCATTTGGTACCCAGGCATCCCCAGTTTTTTTTTTCATATGGTACACTGAGTGTTCACACACATTCTCTGATGTCTAGGTGACTCAGGCCTGTCATGCCAATGTTGAATTAATGACAAATGAAACGTGTATATACAGTATACGTTTATGGCCCTACATGAGAGAACGTATATATACGTTTGGACCGTTTAAGGGTTAATTACACAAAAAATAGAAGATTTACTCTATTTCTCTCATAAAATCTAACCAGGAATGTTTGGTCATGGTTTACCGTGTCACATAATTGAATCAGACCTATTAAAAGTCCAGTAAACAGACTGGGAGTATTGGAGGGGGGGCCTTACCCATCCTCGGGAATATTGGCAAAAATCAAATATTTCCACTATTTGAGCTCGATTTCATGCTACTTGTGGTTTTGAGACCAATTAAAATCATCTATATTTCAGTAGTATGTTTTCCATTTTATTAAATGATACTAAAAATCTGCCAATAAAACCATAAAAACTATCCGGGAAAACACCTCAAATGTGCTATTTTAAACCATACACCAGTCACTGTTTTGTCTTTACCATCATGCATTGCAGGAGGCAGAATTTTTTTTATGCTGTGCATACTATAGGTCAAAACCTTGCCAATAAAATCCCAAGCTCAGATACCCCACCAAATGACTACCTCACTGGCAACTACCCGAACACACTGTTCCTAGCTCCGACTAACCCATATGAAGTCTCCCTTATTATCAACACACTGAAAAACAAGGCAGGAGATTTAAATACCTTACCACCCTTTATATACAAAAAAGCATCACAAGTACTATCACCAATCATTGCAACACTCTTTAACAAATCCATTGAATCCTCCACCTTCCCTACAGTTCTCAAAATAGCAAGGGTCACCCCGATCCATAAAGGAGGAGACCAAACAGAGTTGAATAACTATAGGCCAATATCCAATTTACACCCTCTCTCAAAAATCTTCGAAAAATTAATTCATAAACGAATCTACTCCTACCTCATCTCCCAAAACATTCTCAACCCCTGCCAATTTGGATTCAGCCTAATAAAAATACTAATGATGCTATTATACACATGCTAGAACATATATACACTGCAATAGAGAAAAAAGAAGTCCCCTGGGGATCTTCATTGACTTATGTAAAGCTTTTGATACAGTTGACCATGACTTGCTCCACGTAAAATTGTCACACTATGGTATTAGAGGGCACTCCCTCAACTACCTCAAGTTCTTACCTCAGCAACAGAAGCCAATATGTGTACGCAAATGGGGCAAGCTCTTCCGCACAACCAATTACAGTTGGTGTCCCACAGGGAAGTGTCCTTGGCCCTCTTCTCTTTCTCCTATACATAAATGACCTACCAAATGCTTCGCAATTACTCAAACCACACTTTTTGCAGATGACACTACATACGTCTTCTCTCACCCGAGCCCAGTCACGCTAGCCAATACTGTAAACACCGAATTACAGAAAATATCTACCTGGATGAGGACTAACAAACTTACACTAAACATTGACAAAACCTACTTCATTCAGTTTGGTAACAGAGCTACAGATGTCCCTCTTAACATAATGATAAACGGATCACCTATCACAAAGCTAACAGAAGGAAAATTCTTAGGAATCCACCTCGATAATAGACTCAAATTTCATACACATGTACAACAAATTTCTAAGAAAATTTCCAAGACTGTAGGCATACTATCGAAGATACGTACTATGTTCCACAGTCAGCCCTCCTGGCCCTTTATCACTCTCTTATTTACCCCTATCTCGCCTATGGAATTTGTGCATGGGGCTCAACAACAATTAACCATCTCAGACCACTAATTACCCAACAAAAGGCTGCAGTTAGAATGATAACAAATTCTCACTACAGGCAACACACTCCACCAATATTCAAAACACTCAACCTACTCACCATACAAAACATCCATACTTATTATTGCACCTATTACATACATAGAACACTTAACTCTGATATTAACCCTCCCCACAAACATCTCCTTGCCAACCTCAACAGAACACATGACCATAACACAAGGCACAAAGCACTCTTTGATGTTCCTCGTGTCCATCTCACGCTATGCAAAAACTCAATGCACATAAAAGGCCCTAAAATCTGGAATTCATTACCTGTAAATACACTACCTGTTTACAAATTCAAGTCTCTTCTCAAAGTTCACTTACTCAAAACCAAATAAATACTGAATAACTGAACCTTATGAATTGTATATCCAAAATGTTACTCACAATTATATCACATAAATGTTAAACCTAGGACCCAATCTAACTTTGGTAGACCATACAATAAGTGTCAGGGGCCCAAGACTGTTCAACTGCCTCCCAGCACACATAAGGGGGATTACCAACAGACCCCTGGCAGTCTTCAAGCTGGCACTGGACAAGCATCTAAAGTCAGTTCCGGATCAGCCGGGCTGTGGCTCGTACGTTGGTTTGCGTGCAGCCAGCAGCAACAGCCTGGTTGATCAGGCTCTGATCCACCAGGAGGCCTGGTCACAGACCGGGCCGCAGGGGCGTTGACCCCCGGAACTCTCTCCAGGTAAACTCCAGGTAAAACCTAACAGAATACTCCATTCTACTGAATGAACAGCAATGCAAGCAACCATATGACCTGTCTTTGTAATACTCATTTGTGCTTTATAGTTATCTGTTTATAATAATGTCTTATCACTGATTTCATCATTGGTTAGTTAATCTTAAGTTAATTTTAAGCCAGCCCGTAATGCTATGCATATAAGTGGCTTTGGCATGCTGCTCTTACCTGTATTTTTTTGTACCTCTGTATGTATGCTAAAATTTCTAAATAAATAAATAAATAAAGAAACACTTGCTGCACTAATCCATTCTCTCATATCTAGGCCAAAATTTACCACTCACAGCTTATCTGAGTAAACTGAGTTCATGATATGGAACTATGTTAGGAACCCTGGCCTCAGTGATGTAGTTCTATGTAATGGCCACCAAAATGGTTAATTGATCTTAAATTAACCCTTAAACTGTCCAAGCAGATCTATGTTCACATGCGTAGTGCTCCAAAAGTAGATCTATGTTTTTTTTTTTACATATTTTCAAATATATATATATTAAAAAAAAAATGTAGATCAGAGTTTTTTTACACATTTTCAAATGTAAAAAAAGAAAAGAGATCTACTTTTTTTACATACTTTCAAATGTTGAAAAAACGTAGATCTACGTTTGGACAGTTTAAGGGTTAAGAAAAGTAGCAGGTCTGTAGACAGGACATAGTTTCCTTACATCTGTTGTCCATGTTCACCCATCAGTAAAATAGGTACCTGGGTGTTAGTCGACTGGTGTGGGTCACATCCTGGGACAAAATTGACCTAATTTGCCTGAATTGCTCTGCATAATAGGGGCTTTCTGTATAGTAGTATGTTATTGATGTCAGCTAGGCCTGTATATCTTATACATGTACAGTGGACCCCCGGTTGTCAGCTGGTTCTGTTATCTGCCAACTTGGTTATCGGCCGGTTTTTCGGTGCTCGGTTATCGGCCATTAATTCGGTGATTGGCCATTTGGGACGTGTCCATCCACCGGCTGGGGCTGCTTGCGCGTCAGTTTGGCTTTGTCTCTAGGTGGCTGAGGAAGCTTCTGCTCATGCATCCAAACATTTCGCTTGTTTTCCATTGTTTTTAGTGTTTTTTTTTTTTTTTTTGCAGTGTAACTGTGAAATAAGTAACCATGGCTCAAAAGAAAGTTCCTGTGGTAAAGAAAGTGAGAAACACCATGTAATTTAAGTGTGAAGTGATAGAAAAGTTTGAGAGTGGTATGAAGGTGGTGGAACTTGCCAGGATGTACAGGAAGAATAAATCAACAATTACATCCATCCTGGCAAGAATAAATCAACAATTACATCCATCCTGGCAAGAAAGAACAAATCAAAGACACTAATGTTGCAAAAGGAGTAATTTTCGAACTAAACAGAGGCCACCAACAATGAAAGAGATGAAAAAGTTATTATTATTGTGGATTAAGGAAAAAGAATTAGTGGGAGACAGTGTTGTGGAGTCTATTATTTGTGAGAAGGCAAGGCAGTTGCATGAGGATCTTGCAAAGAAAATGCCTGGAACAAGTGAACAGACTGCAGCTGAGGAACTTGCTTCAGAGGAGGAAGAAGAGGGAGTGAAGGAGGTGCCTTCAGAGATTAAAGAGGTGTGTGCAATGTGGACTAGGGTACAAGCTTTTGTAGAGAAACACCACCATGACAAAGCTGAAACAAGTCATATCTGTAACATGTTTAGTGACAAAACCCTGAACCCTGTCCCACTTGTGACTCTCCCTGTCCAGTGACTCTCAAGCTGGTCCTAGTGGCATTAAAAGACAAAGAAGGGAAGTAACCCCAGGAAGGTTTTTCTACCTAAATTCTTTATAGAGGGGGATTCCCCTTCCAAACACTAACTCCTCCCTCTTTCCCCTTCCCTATCTTCCAGAAGCCAGAATTAGCCTTCAATAAAGGTATGTAATACTTACATAATTGTTAAAAAAATTATTTTTTTATGAATATTTTTGTCTGGAAAGGATTAATTTTATTTCCATTAATTCTTACGGGAAATATTAATTCGGTTTTCGGCCATTTCATTTATCGGCCGACCTTCTAGGATGGATTACGGCCGACAACCGGGGTTCCACTGTACTTGTAGAAATAGATATTATTATTAACCATCCAGAAGTTGAGTACTACCAGCCTGTCAATGCAAAATAGAAGCTTGTTAAGTGTTTTGAAGTGCTAGTAGGATTACTGGTCGTCTTTCTTTTATTAACACTTAAGATAGCAGGTAAATCTTTAAAAAGTTTGCTCACATTTAATATAGAGTACGTATACTGTAGTTATCTTTACTGTCATGGATTTTGTAATAGCTTTTATTCCTGTAATATTTTCTTTCCTGTAACTGTTAACAAAACAAATAGTAATTAATACCAGGTATTCCAGATAACAATATTAAAAATGAGGGCAAGTTTACTGAGAAGTGCCTGGAGAGCAGTGGCCTCTCTAGAGGCAGCTCGAAGGTTGTCTGCCAGGAGTCAGTTTTCCCCATGCTTGGCAAGCATCTTCCTGAGCAACACCACATTGTCTTATTCTACCAGGAGGTGGGTGAAACACTGAAAGCAGCAAATTCTAGTTAAAGTAACATTGAATTTTAAGTTCATACAGTTTGAAAATCTAGGTGCTGTTTATTGTACATGAAAAGAAGACACTGTATCTGTATATTGCTAGGATCTGTGTTCCATCTTCAGTAAGAAGAGGCTGAATGATATTAAAGCATCCTATTTTAAAAACAGTTTTTTTAATAATTTTTTTTAATTTGCTGCTGGAGAAGTTTCACTCATCCTCTCTCCTATTGACTGGTGATGAAAAACAAGGAATTACTGTGCTTATTTGTGCACTGAATTAGACTCTATACCTATTTTACAGTACAGCATTTTTGAGTGTCTTCATGCCTTATACAGTACTGTACATAAATATTAAATACTTGTCACCCTACCTTTATGGGAAATATCCTCTGTTGTAAAGCAAAATGCAGTTGACCCTTGAACAACACTGGTTTGAACTGCGCAGGTCCACTTGTACATGGATTTTTTCAATAAATATATTAATTTTTTTTTTTTGGAGATTTGCAACCCAAAAAATTCAGAAAAAGTTAGGTATGTCATGAATGCATAAAGTATATGTAGATACTAGTCTGTTTTATCATTTACTACCATAAAATATACACAAATCTATTTTAAAAAGTTAAAATTTATCAAAACTTACATACAATTACAGGTTGTACATGTTCTATTCGCAGTCGAAAGAAATGTAAACATATAGAAAGACGCTCTCGCTTCACACGGTGAGGGCCTGGGTTCGATTCCCAGCCAGAGTAGAAACATTGGACGTGTTTCTTTCCACCTGTTGTCTATGTTCCCCATCAGTAAAATGGGTACCTGGGTGTTAGTCGACTGGTGTGGGTCGCATCCTGGGACACTGACCTAAGGAGGCCTGGTCACAGACCGGGCCGCGGGGGCGTTGACCCCCGGAACTCTCTCCAGATAAACTCCAGATAAACATGTACGTATTATTATTACAGATCATTCATGTTCCATTCACAGTAGAGAGAAATGTACACAATCATAAAGGTTCAATATTCATTCATAAAGAAATATGAATTTCTTTTTCACATATCTTTTTGTTTTTTATATCTTTTGTTAGTAATAAGTATAACAGCTACATTGTTTTGTATCATATAAGGCAATATTGATGTAGGTAATGACAGACAGATGATTGATCTTGTAAACAGATTGCGTAAACTTACGGTATCGATAAATACAGTGCAGTACTGTCAGTGTATTTTCTCTTCCTTATGATTTTCCTAATAGCATTTTCTTTTCTCTAGCTTACTTTATTGTAAGAACACAGTGTATAATACATATACAAATTGTGTGTTAATTGACTGTTTGTTATTGGTAAGGCTTTTGGTCAACACTAGGCTATTAGTATCTTCACCAGGTGCCAGATCATCCAGGCTGTGATGGATATGTGGGGCAGTGGGCCTCCAGCAGCAACAGCCTGGTTGACCAGGCAAGCACCAGACGAGCCTGGCCCATGGCCGGGCTCAGAGTAGAGAAACTCTTGAAACTCTTCAAAGATATATCGAAGGTATTAGTTAAGTTTTTGTGGAGTCACAAGTTATACATGGATTTTTGACTGCAAGGGGGGGGGGTCAGTGCCCCTAACCCCCATGTTCAAGGTTCAACTGTACACAGTAGACCGTCGTTTAACATGGTAGTTACGTTCCTGAAAACACCGTGTTAGTCAAAACTCTGTTAGACAAACTGAAGAACTTGTGGAAAAATAG